ATAAAATATAGTTTCTTTTTTAATATGGTTACAAATATTAATAAATTTTAAATTAAAATATCAAATTCAACCATTGAATTGATGGAATATAAATTATACAAAGAAGTATAACTAATATAAAATCTTTGTATACCCAAATAAAATTATTCATCTTAAAAACTGATTAAAAAATAACCCCTTTATCTAACTCCTAAATATTTTCTAAATTCAAAATTGTCCTTATAATTTAAATGTTAAAAGCAAATTTTATACAAATTAAAAATTACTATATTATATTAACATTTTTTTTCCAAAGCTCAGGGGGACGGCTGCCCCCTTTATCCTCGGTAACTACCTCTCTGCTTAAAATTGCATGCACCTAGCACATAAATATAATGCATTAAAAGAATTTAATTCTTTTAAGTGTTGACAGGAGAATTTAAAGATTGAAATTTGATTTAAAAGTGGGAGTTGCTTAATTTAAAAAATGCATGTTCTGAACTAAATGTTTTTTTTTATTAGATTTCTTTCACAAGATATTTATTTGTTTGGTGGTACTTTTTTTTTGGTACATTTTGTTTGGTGGTACTTTTAAAGATGGGGAGGTGAGATCAATTAAGGGCATACCATATCCTCTACATATCCAACACGTATTGTCAATGGAGATGGAGGTTGCCTGATGCTAAATACCAAAACTTTATTTCAATCACACTCCTACCATTTAATGAAGGTCGATAACTAATGGCATGTGGGACAAAGCTCAGAAAACAACCACACCTTTCCACCTGCCCAACTCCCCGCCTTTCCCACTACGCATTTCTGTTTACATTTCGAAAATATGTACTGTAGCTGGTTTTTTTACACTAAAACAGGTAGTTTAATGGGTTAAAAAGTTAAAATTTTAAATTAAAAATTTTATGCCTAAATCTTGAATTGAGTAAGGAAAAATTTAAGAAAAGAGTATGGTTTTTTTTTGTTATTTTTTTATTATTTGAAAAGCACATTAAATTTTAATTAATTTAAAATTAAAAATTTTATGTCTAAATCTTGAATTGAGTAAGGAAAAATTTAAGAAAAGAGTATGGTTTTTTTTTGTTATTTTTTTAGTATTTGAACGGCACATTAAATTTTAATTTAATTTAAAATTAAAAATTTTCTTAAAATTTGTTTTTTAATTTAAGAAACTCAAATTTGATATTTTATTTAAATAAAA